ATATATATATATATATATATATATATATATATATATATATATATATATATATATATATATATACATATATATATTATATATATAAGATAGTCGTATTAATATTAAAAAACGAAATCGATACATCCAGTAGACTTTCCACTTTGTTATAAGTTTTTATTAAGATATTGTACGAATAGTGCGGCGATCAGGTCGATCCCGATCTGTTGCATTTTACTGTAAGTTAAAAATTGCCTGCGTAGTCTAAGAAGATGCGCGGGCGTAGCGGAGTTGCGCACTGTCATGTTGCAACTCGGTATCTTTATATCGCTGTCGATTCCCAATTGTTTCGCTGACAATATCGTCTTTGTGATGAAAGAAAAAAAGTTGTACGTATTACAATATACATATATATATATATACATATATATATATACATATAGCACCTATACTATATATAGACCGTCCGATAAAATATCGTGTTCACAATGTTATTTTACAGATCTTATATTGTACAGTGCGAGAGAGAGAGAGAGATTGTTCAAAAAGCAAAGGAAAAAATACAGGAAAGTGCAGTACTAGCATTCCGATATATAAATTGTTCTCTTGCTGTTGAAATTGACTATTCTGACTATATATAAGTTAACTATCTTAGCCATTACTATATTATAGCTGTGAGTAAATGAAAATCACTTACGTTTACTATGTCTTGCGTTCTTGCGTCCAATTCGTATAGATAATTCGTGGATGCTAACGGTGCCTAAAAGATAATGGATACTCGCGTGAGATATCAAACAAGCTATTCGAAAAAGATCGTTAACAAAGAAAGGATACTAACATTTTGAGTACTCTGATTTGGTTTCGGCGCTTTTACCTCGTAGAGCGACTTATAAATTTCGTCACCGATCAATTCGTCCTCTAGTGTGACTGCGAAAAGTGGAGCATCCCATCGATTTTTACCATTTGGCGTTTCGTATCTGTTGGATTTAATTAAATATTTATGAATCTTGGATTGTGTTGTATCTTAATATTAAATTAAATGTTTAATTATTTATTCTAATTAAATATTTAATATAGAGAATATTTAATTGTTTAATCCAAATAGTTTACTCTGAGAAAATTTCCAACAGGTTAGTTGTTTACCTTGCAACAAGTGCATCAAACGTTTCTCTGCTGTAGCGATCAGATTCTGTTCGTTGATTATTCAACATCCAACCATGTTCAACTGGCACATCACAGTATATTGTGCATTGCGGAGTCTTGTATAATTTTGTCATGCAGTAGATTTCATACCGATATCCTTTGATATAATTACTGCCATCAAATATTAATAAATTGCGTGTGTCGAGTCTACGTTGAATGTCCGACTTTATGGCGCTTCTGACAGCTTTCTCTTTCTTCGAATCTAGAATATAATTTACTTAGACTGCGTTCGTTTTGGCATTTACAATGCTCTGAGTGTCATTTCATCCTTGTTTCTATCAAATACTAAACAAGGACAAATGATGTTTACACGCCTTATAAGCGCCAAAACGAACGCAGTCTAAGATTTACTGTTTCTTGATTAAACACAGGATTATTGAATTATTGTATAATAATCTTCTTCATTTTGTGACAGAATGTGAAAGTGTAAAAGAATGGTTTGAAGATTTGGGAAAAATAAGGAAGAAAAAATAAAAAAGATTGGGGATGATATGTTAAATGAAAGAAAGAGAGAGAGTTACAGATGAAAAAGAAAATAAGGAATAAAAAGAACAAAGAGGAAGAATGAAAAATATAGAAATATGATATAAAAGTGATAGAGTTAGAATTAAGTCAATTGGTTAGGTTAGATTGCTTAAGTAAAAATTAGAAAATGAATGATTGAATGAAGTAGTGGAATGAAGAGTAGAGAAAGTAGTGGAATGAATGAATAAGTAATATTGTAAACCAAGCTCTACTTCTTGGCTGTATTTCTTACTGAAAAAAATATATACATAATAACAGTCTTTTTGCTCTTTGATTTTTACTGACCAGCATAGAACATATTCTTGTCATAACCTGCTGTAATTATCGCGTCGGATTCACTGATTATTTCTACACTTTGCTCGGTGCCTTTTAATCTCTTCTCGAAGTAATTCTTCAATTCGAGGCTTCTCGTCGTTTTGCCGCTGCACGGATTGCCTGTTATCACTATAAGTGGCATTTTAATGCAGTTAAGATGTTCTAATTGAAGACTCACACTATTCTGCCACCTACGAAACATTAAAACAAGAATGCGATAAAATAAACTAACATGTAAATTTAAGGGATCCGTTAAAAAATATTTTAATTAGACAAAAACATAACCTAATATCTAATACATAACTTTCATATATGAGAAACCATTGTGACAGACTTAAAACTTTAATTGTACATATATGAATATGTATAAATTCACATGATATATTTAATATCTTCTAAATTACGTGTTTAATTAACTTATTACATACCATATCGTATACAACAATCACTGTTATGAGTGTGTCGAGGAACTTTTTCTCTCTCTCTCTCTCTCTTTGGTTGCAGGCCTGTCCCTTGAGCCAGCGGCACACGGTGCTTGTTTTCGTACTGGATTGTTTGCTGGATGGAAATACTCTGGGTGCTTTCCAGTTGCGTACACTATGTTACACAAAACCAGTTTATTGGTTGCATATTATCTTACAAGATATTTTAGATAATATGTGACCAATAAACTGGTTTTGTGTACGTGTGTGTCAAGATGTGTTAAGCAATTGGAAAGCACCCTCTGTTTTGATTGGCGCATTTCCATCCATCTTTAGAAATGTACCAATCAGAGCAGAGTATTTCCATCCAGCACGAAGGCAAGCACCGTGTGCCGCTGGCTTTATGGCTCCTGCACACAGAACGCGGTAATGCTTGCCGTGCGGCGAAAGTTCACACGACAGCCAATCAATATGCTGCTTTCTGTAATAATTTTCTAGCTCTTACGGAAAAACAACATATTGATTGGCTGTCGCGCGGACTTCCGCCACGTGGCAAGCATTACGCTTTATGCACAATGCCAGGTAACAGGCAATAGGAATAGGCATTAGTCAATAGGAACGGGGAATAGAAATAATTGATCAATCCGAATTCCTATTTTCTGTTCCTATTGCCTGTTGCCTGGCATTGTGCATAGAGCGTTACCGCGTCCTAGGGTGCGTTCAGATTTCCTACCCAGGTGCATTCTATTACTAGAAACACTATAGTATATGTTACATATATTATAGCACTTTTAGTATTAGAATGCACCCGGGTAGGGAATCTGAACGCAGCCCTATGTGCAGGAGCCATATTGCTTGGCATTGTGCATAGGACTTAACTCGAACTCGAATTATCGTAAACACTACTGTATCTGTGTATTTCTTTTTAAGTGATCATATTTTGTTATGACCGTATTTCATCTCTTACTATCGAAATTTGTCGCTGAGATAGTTGAAGCAGCTATTTTCTCTTTTTTGTTGATATTACAGTAAGATCGTATGCACTGACTTTACGTTCTGAACGAGATTGTGTAAAATATTCGTGAACATCATGACAGCCCTTTACTTGGAACATTATCTCGACAGTAAGTAATTTGATTTCTCATTATTTTGTCAGAAGAATATAATTTTGTTCTTTGTAGACTAGATCTTCTTTAAGCAATGTTTCTATACACATTCTTCATATTTAAGAAAATTTAAACATATTTTTGAGGTTAAAGTTCGAAGGTTTTCTTCTTCCAATATTTGCCCGAAAAACTTATAGATTAGATTTCACATGTCACTTTACGTTGCAAGATTTGGAAAGTTCCTGTTCCTGAATGTTATCATAAATGATATAGTTTAAACTGTAGATACTAAAGTTTTGTAGGTTAGGGAGCGAAGGAGGGAACAGCGAATGTGTAGAAAGTGCATTATAAGTACAGTTGAGAACGAATAGAGATTATATCTGACTTTTTTTATGAATTTATTTATCCTGTTCAATGAGATAATTTTTTCAATGCAAACAGATTCCTCCATATATTGGACAAGACAAATATATTCCCAACTTATAAAAAAAGTCAGAAGTATCTATCCGCGATTGTACAGTTTATAAAATATAGATTTATGATTTGCTTTACTTTTTTTTTTATATTCCCGTTTTTTCGTTTGCAGATACTTTTTATGAAAAATCATAAATTTTGTTATAAATAATTTTTGTCAAAAAAAACTTCAATTTCTGTGAAATTTAGTTGATAAACGTATAAGTTGATTAAGTCTTGTGTGGACCATCAAATATGCAAGTTTTAAAAATTTTTCTAAAATCTTAGAATTTATGTATGTTACAGGTTTAGAGCACTTGCCTATTGAGTTGCAGAGGAATTTCACATTAATGCGCGACTTAGATGCCAGAGCTCAAAGTTTGATGAAGGACATCGACAAGCTGGCAGATGATTACTTAAGAAATATAAAGAAGGAGTCGCCAGAGAAAAGCAAAGAGCAGATCACTCATATTCAAAGTCTCTTTAACAAGGCTAAGGAGTACGGTGATGACAAAGTCCAGCTCGCTATACAGACCTATGAATTGGTTGACAAGCACATCAGAAGGCTGGACTCTGATCTGGCTAGGTTCGAGGCAGAAATACAGGACAAAGCGTTGATCAGCAGTAGAGCGCAGGAGGAGGGTAATGCTAGCAAGAAAGGCAGAAAGAAACTGAGAGAGAAGGAAAAGAAGAAGAAGGGTAATATAGCCAGCAGCGAAGACGAATTCAAAGTCCCAAGAAAGAAGCAGAAGAAAGGTATGCTGTTCGGTCTCGATAATTCTTTATCTCGTGTATCTCTTCAACTAGCGATAATTTCTTATTTTACAAATCTCACAATTGTCTCGCCGCTGCTGCACGGTTATAAATATGCGTATTCACGTCAGGTGGCTCCGTTGCTTCAGCATCATCCACTGGTGCTGTGGGTAGCGGTGCGCAAGTGGACGCGACGACCTTAGGACATCCAGCTGATGTTTTGGACATGCCCGTCGATCCCAACGAACCGACTTACTGCCTCTGCCACCAAGTATCGTACGGAGAAATGATCGGTTGCGACAACCCGGATGTAAGCTCTTCTTTGCCATTTATTCTTGCTGTTATCGGTACCGAAGATAGGCATAATCGATCGTTTCTTGTGTTATCTTTTACAGTGCCCGATAGAATGGTTCCACTTCGCATGTGTGGGTCTAACTACCAAACCCAAGGGGAAGTGGTATTGTCCCAAATGTACGCAGGATCGCAAGAAGAAATAAGCCATAGGAATGTTAGAAGATAATCATACATCGCCGCATATTCATATAAATAAAAAAAGACTATATCGTACGTTATTTCTAAAATTAGAATGTAACTTTTTTCATATTCAGGCATAGAGCGCGAAATGGTTTTATATAAAGAATAAATGGTTTTGTATAAGAATCATATATAGACCCTCACGAGGTGAAAACAAAATAATAGTAGGACTGCATTTTCATTGCATCTATTGCTGATAACATCGACTTCCGTTAGTTTTTCTATCGATGCGACAAAGTGTGTTATTTACAATTCTCGTCATCTTGCAATAGGATCTTACGTTGCTGGCTTTTTTTTGTATCAATATAACATGATATTAAGGGCCTGGAATATCCGTTCGCATCGGGATCATGTATTAAATGTATCGGGCGATTCAATATTTTTATTGTCAATTTTAGATGTAATGGAAGCACAGTTAAGACCTAAGCTCATCACAGACAGAAAGCTTTTGAGAATCGGCCATCCTCGTTATCGCTTCCTCTTCATACATCGGAATAGTAACTTATTGATATTAATGCTGTCACAGAATCGCTTTGTATATTTTTGCATTCTTTCATACGGCCGTTTCTTGAATATCTGTGATTTGCTAACTTGTGATTTCATGTGCGATGTAGCATTATGAAAAAGCATGAGAATAATAATTTTAATATCAGCAATATGAATATATATATATATATATATATATATAAAGTTATTACTGTTTTTATATTTTATAAATGTATATTCAGCGTATGTATGCTTATATACGTTTATATACGTGATGGTGTACACGTATATATACGTATATACTGGCGTGGAGCAAGCTTGCATTGGAGAAGAAATGTGCATATTGTGCAAATAAAGAAAATCGTATATAATTGAAAAAAATATATTTGATTCACGGAAACGTAAACCCGGGCCTGCCAGTCTACTTATATCTTTCGCTAAATATTTACAAAATGTATTTACAAGCGTTGTTAATTAATTATAATAGTATTGTATCTCATATAACAATACTCGAGTCGCGAATAAGGTCTAGATACGAAATCGCTGATCGTCCCGATTATCAGAAGAACGTTATAGGTTCGCAATTAGCAATCATCTACGGCTTCTTGTTGCTCATACTGATTAAGCCCGTGTCAAATTAGCTGTTAGAAATTGAGAACTGCGAGTTAGACATTAAAATTCAACGAATAATTTCAATCTTGGCTTTTTTCGCGGTCTTCAATTTCCAATCTAATCTAGGCTTTAGGATGCGCTTCTAGAGACCGGATTGGGCTCTTTCTCTCTTTCAGTGGCCTGATCTCAGTGTAAAGCTACTCTGACGAATGTACCAATAAATAAGCTCACTAGCAGAACGCCTAGCGCGTACGATTACAAACTTACAGAATAAATAACAACTTGAGAATATTGAGCGAGTATCAAAAGAGCGAACTATAACAGCGCTTTTCTTCTAGCGCCGTTTCAGGGAATACCTGACTGTCTATTGCAGCATTGACTAGGCGGCACGGTCCAGTTGTACTGATAACTCATGCGATTCCTCACTTCTTTCGAGCACAACGCCCCGGAAGCTTGATAATATTCGTGCATGCTCCTCATGTTCTGAATAGTTTGCTTGTGCGTGATTATATACTGATTGGAACAGCCGCGCGATCTGTACTCCGTGTCGAAGCGCACGTCGTGCTTCCTCTCGATGTTCGCTAACGGTGCCAACCAGAGGCCAACGGACACGTCCTCCGAATTGTGCAATCTGGAACAGAATTAACGAATGGTTTTTCAGCAAAAGGTACAAGCAGAGTTGGGAAATAACAAGTTACTTGTAATGTTTTACTTTTTATAGTAATGAGTTGGTAATAGCGTTAATAAATAAATTAAAAATAAAAATAATTAGTAATTTAATAATTAAATTTTTTAAATTATTATTTTGTTTTTTTTAAACCGTTTCATTTTATTTTTAATTTTTACTTTTTTGGTAAATTTTACTTTTAAGTATTAAATTTTATTTTTTTAATAAAAATAAATACACATTAATCTTAAAAATCAATTTTCTCAACTCTGACATTGAGGTTCCTGGTTGCACTGCTGTGAAACTCTGGATTGATGACATTAGAAGCATGAAGACACATGGCAAAAATTTTTGCTTCTTTAGCAATGGGATCAGAAGCTTTAAAACCTGATTTATAACATGCTCTTTACTTTTTGTTTCTGGATCTTTATCTCTTTCCAACTATAGGCTCAAGATTCAAGTCAGAAAGAAATAAGGATAAAGAAAGAAGGAGCACATCGCTTTATCTGGACCAAGTAGTAGAAACGTCATCGATGCTCACTTGAGAATATCCGCATTAGTCGCGATAAATTTGACGAGGTTGTAGGACAAGACATAGCCACCGCCCAGGGCGTATGGCAGGTAGTAATCGCAGAGAATCCAGGTAGTCTCCTTCCATGGACCGCTCCGCTTTACTTGCGCCCGGCCGTTAAAGAAGCCCCAGTAGAGCTCGCGCCTGGTGCCCTTGCTCTCCCATCTGTCGAGCTCCTTCAGAATCTTGTGCACCAGCACGTAGGAGTCGTCGTCGCACTTGAGCAAGAAGTCGAAGTCGTAGCCCTCGTGGACGGCCTTCAGCGCGTGCAGCACCTTCTTGGTCAGCATGCCGTAGGAATCCTGAAGCTTGGGCAAGAGCAGCAGGTCGTTGAACTTGTCCCTTTCCGACAGTAGCGTGTTCCGCTGCTCCGGCAGGATGTCCAGGGTGCCGACGACGAATAGCGGTCGGACGGTGGCGTGGTAATCCACCAGCCAGGTCTTGCGAATCGTGCCCCGGCGTTCCAGATTGTCCGGGCTGCTGAGAATCAGAACGACCAGTCTATACTTGATCCTACCCTCCATCATGGAAGACTCGGCCGTCGAGCATCTTCGCGTCGGTAAATAGCGCACGCATAGGAAGACGAACACCAACACCAGCAGCAGCAGAAGCGCGTTAGCGCGGATGAACAGCTTCCTACGGCTCATCGACGGCAATTTCGGCGTGAGATCTAAGCGCAGATGCGTCATGAAACCGCCGAGCCGATGATGATCTTGAATTTCGCCGATGGGAATACAGAGCGAAGCGAGCTCCGAATTCGCGAAAGGCTCGTCGTAGTGGCCGCAATGTGATCTTGAATTGCGCCCGTTGGTCTCTCACACCATTGTGTCTTTCGCTCGTCAATGGATTCAGGCACTTGTCTCGGGAGTTCCGACTTCGTGAATTCGCAGTACAAGTGGTGTCGTCACAAAAAAACGCGATAGAACTGTAACCGAGACGCCGAGCTGAATTAAGCTGTAAACAGCAGTTTTTCGATCGCCATTCTGACAAGAAAGGTATCTGAGTCTCTGTTTCTCTACTAAGTAAAAGAAACCTCGAGTTACTCGACGTAAGGCAAAGATTTTATCGGATCACTCATGAATGTCAATAACAATAGTAACGAGCATGTACCGTCAAGCATCAACGATCAGCTGCATTCCGCAATCAGCTGATCGGCGGCTTCACCGGTTTTAGTTAGGTTAGGTTAAGCTGGATGGATATCGATATTGGATGGATATAATACCGACAGATGATAAGATATCTGTTTATTTTAGTTGCATTTCGTTGCGATAGAGAGTCTCTGAAGAATCAATCTGAAACAACCTAACCTTGATCAGTTGCTATTTTGCTAAAAGAAGTTAGGTAAGTCAACATTGTTCTCAATTTGTAGTCTTTTATCACATCTTTTAAGAACTCAGATTACTTCTCATCTTTAGGAATAATTTAGCTAATGTAATGTTTGACTTCTAGAAGTCACTTTGCTGATTATCGGACAAACGATACACGTGAGGAACATGGAGATTATCGAATTGGTATCCGATGAAGATCAATCAGACGAAGGTGCAAAGAAAAGTAAACCTAAGGCATTCAGTAGCAATTGCATCAATTTTAAATGCAAGTCGGGAATAGCTATGAAACCGGCGCCTTCCTTTGCTTGCGCTTACTTTGGGGTTACTGACAAGAAGAAGAAGAAACGTGAAATATGCAGAGAATGCTTTGGCACTGCTCTGAAGCATCAACAGGTATGTATAATTTTATTTGAAATAATAATCAATCGATAAGTGAAGAGATTCGCGTATAAACGCGATTACTATAATATATTAGAGAGATATCACAAATGCGACATGATACACTACTAAGAGACACTTATATTTACAGCAACTGGTTAAAGCTTTCTTGGAAAGCAAACCGCTATTAAATTGTGACTTTCCAGATCACACAATGGAAGTAGAAATTTCTGATAGTGATGAGTCTGACAGTGAGGAGAAGAAAGAAGTGGATAACGGTATATTGAACTTCTATTGTCTCTAAATTGTAGATATTTGACAGAGAAAGAGAAAAGGAGTTAGATAAAATTTAATTTTCTAAAGCCAAACAACCTAAATATCTAAGATATCATGGAAGTTGCAACTGTTTAAACAAAACAAAAATGTGTTCTAGAGCAATATTTACCAGAAGATATGATCTTAGATATTCAAGATAAACTGGACGATACATTAAAATATGTCTCTAAGAAGTATAATCTGAAACACCACACTGATGTAGCATGTAAGACTCTGAGAGAAAAGTGGCGCATCATAAATGGTAAAATTATGCTTACTATGAATGCAAATTGCATGCAAAAGTTCAACAATCTCTATCTCATTTATTGCTCATTGTCTTATATTGTTGATTAACAGTAACGAATGTTGATCTTGATATGGAGATACGAGGGATAATGAAGACCATGGATAAATTGCGCAACGAATTGTATGACGTGTACAGACCGAAAATCAAGATGGTCGAGGAACTCCAGATAAATGACGGACCTGTGGAAAGTCTGTACCCATTTGTGGCGACGAAGAAGGTTACACAAGTGCGCGTTACACCTGGATTGTCACATGACAGCCAAGTGGAGGTCGTGCCGATCGAACGAGACGTCAAGGAGATCGTGATTCCCAACTTACCTCCGGCCGGGCCGCTCGTGAAAGCGGTCCCGGACGTAGATAATATTGTTTATGTCATGAAAAGTCCTCTCATGCCCTGGCAGAAAGCAAAGGTTTGCAGAGTAACATAAACTAAATGTTTTATATATCAAAGATTCTGTGAGAAAATATATGTAATTAAGAGAAAGATAAGGCCTAAAAGAATCGTGTGCTGGACGTTATCGCGAATAAATTTGAATGGGAGGATAACGATATTTAACGTTATAATCAAATAATAATCTTTCTCTTAATTAACTGTAATATGAAATTATTCGCTGCCATACTTGTTAGACAATCGAACGATCATGTAATATGGCGATTCTCTTGTAGATTCAACATGTAATCTCGAGAAATCCATGGAGCATTCGCGTGAAACTAATACACAGGAGGGGCTGCCCGGTGTTCAAATCTGTTTTCGGCAAGCAATTTGCATTGGCTCAAACAAGTAAAGTTTTAATCCCGGTCGGAACGCGAGTTGTCGCTTTGTTCAACGACGTCGTGAGCAATAACTTATACAGCGGAATCATCGCTGAGACACCCAAGTCAACGAACAGATATAGGTGAGATTTCGTGCTCGAATATCTATGCGAATGTCTCGTAGAGATTTGTAAGCTTCAAAATCCTATTTTTGTAGGTACTTGGTATTTTTTGACGACGGTTACGCGCAGTACGTCATGCACGAAAATATCTGTCTAGTTTGGGAACACTCGTCGCACGTTTGGGAAGATGTGCCAGCTGACTCGCGAGATTTCGTGAAGAAGTATCTGGAAACATATCCCGAGAGGCCAATGGTGAAGTTACAAAAAGGTCAGATAGTGAAGACCGAATGGAAGGGCAAGTGGTGGATTGCGAGGGTTTTATCGGTCGATGCGAGTTTGGTGCAAATGTTCTTCGACGCCGATGGTAGGACCGAATGGATTTATCGTGGATCCACTAGATTAGGGCCTCTGTATCTCGAATTGTTGAAGGCCACTGCGAGACAACAGGGCAACAAGGCGCATCATGTACCCAGCAATGCGCATAATCGGTTGCCTCGCCTTCCCGCAGTTTCCAATGTAAGCAGTTGCTTGTGTTAATATAGAAACTTAATCGAATATTGAAGTGGGTCTAGGAAATAATTTATCACGCGTAATTATTGTATCTTCTTACAGAAAAGCAATCTGCCTTACGTCGAGTACACATCCAACGTGGAAGCAGATGAGGAAGTAACACAGAATGCACGAGCAGCGAAAGCAACACCCGCGACGAACGCGCCGCTTAGTGCACCGGCAACCGCTGCACCGTCATCCGTTGCACCGTCATCCGCTGCACCGCAGCAGTCACGAGCGGTAGCCAAGAAAAGTACAGCCAAGCGGCAAAGCAGCGCAGACAGTGCAACAACAACATCGTCAGTATCAACAGTGTACAATCCTCCGGCGGAAATAAAACCGTCTCACAGTATCGTTGTGAGTAACTATCATTGAAGAATTCCTAAAAATAGGCATACGTTATCATTAGGTGATTCTATCGGCGCCGTATATAATATTGAATAATGATATTTTTTATATATGTTTAATGATCTGGTGCAGTAGTTAATTAATCTGACTGATAGGATAATTTCGTTTCTTCAATGCTTTTCTTTTTTCCCAGTTTTACCATACTCAGCGGAAGTATGAGCCGAAGAAGTATGTTTTTCACAAATGTGGGATAAGATGTATCAAGAACATCAAGGTTTCGTACGAAGATCTGAAAGGGCTGCCTCCGCTTTCCATCCCCTTATTATGCGGGTGGCATCGTCAGCTCTGTAAGTTCTCCAAAACCAAAAAAGTGATACTATATCAGGCACCATGCGGCGTTAGGCTGCGAAATATGGAGGAGCTGCACCGTTATCTCCGTGTCACCGGTAGTACCTTGTCTGTTGATTTGTTCGACTTCGACTACTGGGTGCGTGCCTTTGCGGACTTCGTCGTGGAGAAGTGCTTCATTAACATCAAAGTGAGTCAACGTCGAAGCACAAAATTTTATTCAACAGCTGTACTAATTATTACTAAGGCACTGACATCCTACGGATGTTTGAGAGAACTGATATTGAGTCAGTAAAAATATTCGATTGTCTATTTTTTTTATGATAAACCGGTCATCTTTAGTTGATGAATTCCACTGAATGCAATAGAGGCAAGTTCGATTGAAAAATCGAACCTAGCTTTATGACTCAATATGTTTAAATTATATAATGTGGTAACGTGTATTAATTCGTTTTGCGACCATTTGAAAGGATCTCAGTTACGGCGTGGAGAACGTGCCGATACCATGCGTGAACGACTTGGATCACACACAGCCGGATACCATAAGATACACCACGCGCAGGGAACCAACAGAGGGTGTTAATTTGAATTTGGACCCAGCGTTTTTATGCAGCTGCGATTGCGAGGACGATTGTCAGGTATAGAACGTTAAACAGCGCTCGATAACGCTTTGATAACATGACCTCGCTCTGTTTCGTTTCATCACGTTGTTTTGCAGGACAAGAACAAATGTCAGTGTTGGCAGTTAACAATACAAGGAGCAACCTTGGGTGGCAAGGTTCCAGACACTGCTGTTGGCTATGTTTATAAACGCCTACCCGAACCGGTGACCACCGGAATTTACGAGTGCAATTCGGGATGCAAGTGTTCGGTGAAAACGTGCCTAAATAGAGTAGTCCAGCATCCTCTCGGTCTGAAATTGCAGGTGTTTAAGACCGGACCACGTGGATGGGGTATAAGGTGCCTCAATGATATTCCACACGGTGCTTTTATCTGTATTTACGCAGGCAGACTGCTCACCGAACAGGTACTGATATTTTGAGTCGATTTTGTAAATTTATCTTTATATAGATCTGTCATACTTTATGTTTCTTATCGTATAGGGCGCCAACGAAGGTGGCAAGAATTATGGCGACGAATATCTGGCAGAATTGGATTACGTGGAAGTGGTGGAAGGTATCAAAGAAGGCTACGAGAGCGATGTTCTCGAAACAGAAATGTCAGTCTCACCCACGGATGACAAACAGAAAGATACCATTGAGACCTTGAGCGACGATGAGGAAGAACATAATTCGAAGGATAATGCCAATGATTCGGATGAAGATTTTATGACCAGATACTTGAGAAGTACTTGCAGGAAATCGAATTCTTCCTCTATTAGGTATATCTTTAATCATACTTCTATTGCAGTAATTTCTCGGAATGTTTAAGAATTAATTTCTTCTTCTAAAGTATAACTTTTATTTTGATAATAATAGTTATATCTTTGATAATAATCACACATCCGCGCGAGAAGCTTATTATAATATTGAATAGTTAGTAGAGAAATACAGAAAGGGTTTTGTTGTCAGGAATCGTTTGAGAAAACGAAAAACGGACGATATAACAGATCAACCAGAGTGTTTCGAAGAGAGCAGCGAGGACGGTATCACTACAAAAAGCTCGGAAAAGTCGTCCGCGAGTGAAAATCGCTTAGCTGATCAAGATGGGGCTAATGGAAGTGACGATGATGATAGTAGAAACAATTTAAGGGAACCGAGTAGATTTGAGCCGAGTGTAGAGCCAACGCAAATAGAAGGACCGGCATTCAAGTCTGTGAGAGACTTCTTCGGTGAAGACGAGGCTGTTTACATCATGGACGCCAAAACAACCGGAAATATTGGTCGTTACTTGAATGTAAGTGAAATTAAATATTAACATATCGTTTGTTGAAATTAAAAGAAATAATTTTTTAATTATATTTCGAGAAGAGAATATACTGAATAGGATATTAATATACTGAAGAATATACTGAAAAAAATATAATAAAATAATTGCTTTTATTTCAATAATACAACGCTTTCAATACTCAAATATCTTTTGAAATATTCCATGTGTCATAAACTCTTTATGATAATATATAAAGTGTTTTTGTTAAGTGTGTTGTTTCTTTCAGCATTCCTGTGATCCAAACGTTTTCGTGCAAAACGTCTTCGTTGATACGCACGACGTACGTTTCCCGTGGGTGGCGTTTTTCGCGTTACAATACATAAAAGCTGGCCAAGAACTTACGTGGAATTACAGTTACGATGTAGGTAGCATACCTGGTAAAGTGATCATTTGCAAGTGTGGTGCTGCTAACTGTAGGGGCCGTCTCCTATAAGCTGTGCGTTTGGTAGGCAGTTTTTTTTATCAATGAATTATTTCTCATACAAACAATATATTTTTACCTGCAGAACTGCTATATACAATTGATAATAGACGTTACGAGTATCATTTCACTCACCGTTATTTATTCTCACCAAGATTTGTATTATACACATGTGTGAAGATGAAAAATATGTGTTTTTCGTTTGTACAATTCGCAAAATATATGTGATACCACCTCCGATAAATTACAAAAGAATATGCTTTATAATTTATGCATATATACCTTGATCTGTTAAAGAACAAATTTGACTTTTTGATAGACAGAAAGAGTGAATTATTACCTGTTATCTTTTTGTGTAAAAAATACACGAGATCCACACAATTCGTCGTCGTATACAGGACATAAGGAAATGAGAGCAATATTCATAACAATGAATGTATTTGCTTATTACTTTTGATTATTGTACATTCTTAGCATTCATTAGACACGTTACACGTTGGTAGCATTGCAAAGACACTACTTCTTTGATCGCAATTTACACAGATCTCTTTGAAAAACTCAACTCAGCATACAAGAGTCTCGAAAGTGTTTTCTTAGCACTTCGCTCAAACACACAAGTAATCCTCCGTCCTTGCGACGAAAAAATTATTCGATTAAAATGGAATAACGATTCAATGATCGCGCGCGTACATGACATAAAAATGTATAAAAAGGTTCCTCGAGATTTATAAATTAATAACAAAGAGAAAATGTAAAAGTCGTACGTACTGTCTTATAGAGAATATATCAAAATACATTATATTATATATATGTATATATATATATATATGTATGTGTATGATTGTTAAATTTAAACTAAAACTAACCTTCATAATCGGTCTTTTAGCTACGAAAGAACAATATCAGTATTACAAATCTGTAGACTTATGCATACATTTAGAACCATGAAGAATTAACGCGCGAGAATGAGCTCTTCATTATACTTGACATATGCAGTATATTATTTTATTATTATTATTATAAAACAGCATCCACATACCTATGTTCATTAATTTAGAGTGCTTAAATATTCTAATCATAGGCGAAAAATAAAAATCAAGCTGTGGTGGAATATTCTCTCTCTCTCTCTCCTCTCTTCTCTATGAGGAACATTAATGTACTAAAGTAACAAAATTATGATCCCGCATTTTGTTTGGTTTTATGCTAGTGGAGTTTCAGAAGCTGCTTAATTTCATCTTTCTCAGCTGCATCCAGATAGCTCGTACCATCCGGTGTTAAACCATCCGGCTTAGCACCTTTCTCTAGCAGCAGTTTAACACAATTTGTATGTCCTTCCCAGATCGCTGCTAGTAATGTCGTGATTCCATGCTTGTCTGTGGCCTGTAAAAGGGAATCTTACTCTTCAGATTTTTCTTCATAGAAATTAGTTGCAAAAATACATGAGTCATATTTAACACTGAAGATAATTAACAGTATAAAATTATCAGGCAGTATATAATCCTTTGATTACAATTATTAATTTCTAATTATGTTAACTATTTCAATTATCTCAATTAATTATTCAGTGTTTATACTTGAACTTACTTGAACTTATACTCAAAACTTACATTGGCATTTGCTCCTTTCTCCAGCAGATATCTAACAACTTCACTTTGGCCATAATCAGCTGCATAATGTAGTGGAGTTCTTCCATCAATCATTTGATTTACATCAATATTCTAAGAATGACAGTTAGTAAAATTAGTCAGTGAAAAATAGGTATTTTTACTTTTTGATGTTATTAAATTATCAGTCAGTAACTAATACAATCTGATGCTATTATAATATAGTCTGGTCAAACTTTTTGCTACAACAGGATTTCAATTTTCCTAAGACCATGGAATATTTAATATACTATGTGTAAGATTATAGAACTGCAATATAAGTAAATAGTAATTCAATTTCAAATGGATAACACAAAATACAAGAGATTCTATAAAACAACATTTCAATGTCTCAATGAGATATTGTTATTAGGAGATATTATTTTTCTACAGTTCTTCATTTACTATAATGAAATTGATTATTAAATAGATTTATTATAGCATATGATATTATATCATTAGAATGATTTTTATATAGATTTTTTTTACTTGACTTTGATGTACACTGTTAGCTGAATAGTTGACCCTAAAAAGTCCAAAATGTCATTGAATTCATTACCATTTTTAGATTGTTCATTCGATATTAAGATTATGGAAAATAAGATTCGGAGCATTCAAGCTGCTTGAATGATAAAAAAAAGATAAAATCTGTCAAATAATCGAGACAAGCCAATGCATTCGAAGCGCGCCGTAATTATTCGTACATGCAAGTACTTCCGGTATTGAGATGAGCATAACACTTAATTATCCGATGACTTTTTGGTACGCCTAATAGTCTAGAATGGGGCGTTGTGCTTAGCATACGGCGCGATCGGAGTGTGTGCAAACAATTTTTACGAAAATGTTACGATCGACATGTCATATTTGCCTTGTTCTCGACGATATCTCGCACTTGCTCAAGATCGCCATTCTTTATTCCCCAAACAAGCTCGCTCATTTTCGTCGTCGTCGTCGCTTTTGCGGGCTCACAGACACGACGAACAGCACACTACGTACTTCCACTTTCTTCTTATCCGTTTCGTACTTCAGTCATTCGCCCATGAAATTTGACGAAGCACCGTGCACCCACCAAGAGAGAGTCTCCTTGTGCGCCTGCTGATAATCCATGCACGATACCAACCCATGAGAATTAAATTCCGGCTTGTTTTAACTGCACTCCCTTCTTCGGGGTGTGCGTACATTCTTGCAATAATAGAAATTTTTACAAATTTTTTTATCCTCTCTTTCTTTCCTTGATACTGGAATATATCTTATTACAAAAAAGTAAAGAGAACGTAATTAAATAGGACCAATTTACTTTTATTTATGATCTATTCATCTTTTTGACTTGTACATAGTTACACCTTCTGCACTTTAAATGACAAGTGTAGTTTTGACTTTGGAATAAAATAATTAGAAGGAGAAAGAAATTACGATAGAATTTAGATAATTTAAATAAGAAAGAAGCAACTTCATTAAATATTTACACAAATAATCTTTTGAAGAACAATTTCTACAAGCACTTGCTGTCAATTTGAAAACCGTGGGTTGACTATCGCTAGATCACATGGAATAACGACCGACTTCAAGCTAGTGCGACTGAGGGGGGAGAGAAGGGGTTATGTCAGACAGGTCTTAAGTATCGAGCAATGTTTATTTTCGAAGCCAATTCGTAACAAATAATTGCCATTACTACGAAAGATATAATTACAACACAGAATGGCATCGATTGCTCGCATCGGTATCGCGAGACTCGGAGTTAATAACCTTACTAGACAATTATGTAAGGTCAGTAGTAACAATCTTAACAGATTTTATTCTTAGTATGCAAGAGTATCTTGTAAAATACTTAAATATTGATGACAAAGTTAAAGAGAATTGATACACAATGCTCGCCACAGAATATGAAATATATATACGATGTCGATATAGGTTAGGTTAAAAATATATAATTGTTGAGTTATGAGATTATAACAATTATGTGTGTATATGATTATTATACGTAGAGATATCTCTATCATCATTTATAATATCATAGATAATGTTAACATGATCAAGTATACAGTTTGTTGCTGGAATATACAGATGCAATTGTCTTATTTGTGTTCTGCACGAATTGTTTAGGTGACAACTGTCGGCAGTATAAGCCAAGTGGCTTTTATCAGTAGGAAATCTAAACGAGTGGACAGACGACCGCGGCCTCAGCCATTTGATTACATGAACAAAAATTATGGTTATTGGGACCAGCTTTTCGATCCAATGATCGACAGACTGGATGATAATTCCAAGATAATCGTCGTCGAAGGTCCACCAGCCTCAGGCAAGACTAAATTTTGTCAAAAGCTTGCAGAAGAACTTGACATGGTGTTTTTACCACCACCTACCTTCGACGAGTATTACATAACCGAATATGGGTATGATTTGCGTACATTGGACGACAGATTGTCGTATGGTGCTCAGTCATGCGATTTAAAGAAATTCCTGTCAAACCCACATCATCCTAACGTGACTATGTTTGAATTTAACTACTTCCAATTCAAGTATGATCAATACATCACTGCCTTGCTGCACTTGCTGTGCACTGGCCAGGGAATAGTACTCAATCGTTCTTTCTACACTAATTTTGTATTTGCCAAGGCGATGACAAATGCTGGTTATATGCGTCCCCAGGCACTGCGATATCATAATGAAATCGTAGGATTTACATTAGATGCAGTGATGAGACCTCAGTTGGTTATTTATTTGGATGTGCCCGTTGATGCTGTCAAGGTAATTTTGGCTGCAATTTTGTTCTGATATTCACTGCCAGTACTGAAAATATATAGTTTATGTCACGTATACTGCAGATTTTCAGTACTGATAGTAATTTCGGAACGCAGCCTTTATTTCATTACCATGGATGCATTCTTTGTGGTTTAGGGAATCATCATAAGATAGCTAAAGAGTTGAGCTCTAAATATTACTGAGCTTATAAAATATTACTGAGTGTAAACGCTTCGAAATAATTGTTTAACAGAAATGAAGCATTTAGAGTTTAATTAATTCGAAATTTCTGTGAAATGCTTTTTATATTCTTAATTCAACTTATTTTATATCTTATTTCAACTTCTTTATCAACAAAACAAAGTTGGAAGATAGTTTTAAGCACTATAAATATTTCACAAGTGTCTTTGTTCACTATTTGAATTGTTTCATGTGGAATACCTATTGGAATGTCTTTGTCTTGTCATTTTCTAATATGTTTGATGATTGCAGGAAAAAATAAAAAAGCGAGGTATACCATACGAGGTAAATTCGAAAGTTTTAACAACAGAGTATCTCACAGACATTGAAGAAGCGTACAAGCAAGATTATCTGAAGAATGTTGTGAAACATTCTAATGTACTGCTTTACGATTGGACGGAGGAAGGAGACATTATGACCGTGATCGATGATATCGAAGAATTAAACTTTGACATATATAAAGAAAAGGGTAAAATGTCGGATTGGATTTTTGAGACGGTACAAGAGCTACGTATCAAAAGAACATATTATCACGATAGATATTATCTGCATAAGGATTACGCTTCGATTGATTTTGAAGTTCCTGAAATGGTATTTACACCCGAGCAAACGGAAGAACGAAAGAAGCTAATGGAAACGGTATGTGTACATTGAGTCGTGAATTATTTATTGTAAAACTAATATTTATATATAATAATGAAGGACAATAAGAGCTGATGCGGTTTGTTTAATATTTATTCTTTAATATTTATTCTCTTGCTCTAATACATATTTTTACGTCACATCGAACGATATATTTTGAACGTAGAATTGTTTAACGTTAAGGGTGAGTTTCAACGATCAAAATCTGACTGACGGTATCAGGGTTCCAACTGAAAATTCTAATGGATAAGAATAACGAAGTATTCGTGTCCATCAGTTAGAACTCTGATATGGTCAGATTTTGATTGTATTCTATAAAACTTGTCGAGTCTTGTCGAGACCTTACGCGAAACAGTGAGTTGACTGAAATGCTCTACGAGCATCTTTGTAATAGCTTCGCACTGTGTAAATATCAATCTTACTGTACAGGTGCCCGGAAAGAAATACAGTGTGGGATTCAACAGAAACCTGGGAGATAAAGGGATTTTGTGGAAAGTATTTCTACCTCCGGATTTTTCCACTCTCAGACCTAATGCGCGCGAGGTGGAAGTGTTAAAAGAAGAATTTAAGAAACTCAAGGCCGCTGCGTTGCCCTGAGAATAATAAAAATATGCTCGCATATATGTGTAGGGAAGAAAATATAACTTGTAAACAGTGTCCAAAGCAACAATAAATTACTGTTGTAAAGTAAACATCGTTGGGACGATGTTTATTCTTCTTTATTAATATATTTTTTTAAAGGATCGCTATATATTGAAGCGCATACAATTGAATTTTTGGATTGATATAGTTCGATCTTTTATTCAAGATCGTTTTTTGAGTTTATGTTCAGATAATGTGCAGCCAATGAAACTGTCCTCCCGACATCAGAAAATGGCGACTCAATGGCGGGTGAAAACACTGTTCTACTCTCAAGTGATGCGACTCAACGAGTCGGATTATCGAAATTCGGTATTTTTTTTTTTTTATTTTTTTTCTCTTGAATATCGTTCATCGACGTTTTGTTTTTAGCCGTTAGCGATTCTCAGAAGATCTCTTGACCGTTTTAGAAGATATTCTAGTATACGATCCGTCATACGAGTCTGCGCATGCGCATATGCGCATACGCCACATTTTCTCGATGTCGCTTGGTTATTATGTCGCATGTGACTTTCGACAGACGCGAATCGAACTACAAGTTGTGAAGCCAGGCGTTCTGAGGCCAATGTCGTGGAAGGCCGTCACACTCGTCCATCAACGATCTAACCGGTGTTTCATGAGTCTCGACAGAGTAAGCGCACCTTACTGTTCGCCGATTACGAGCGATCGCATTTGTCGACCACGCAACAAACATTACGGACGCGCTGTCTCTTCGCTACGATCTATATCCGACGACGAAAGGGACGCTGCTCGATCGTGGATGCCTACACCGATGGTGAGTACGAGAGCGATCGCAAGGCCGATCCAACATATTTTTAACCTTGTGTTTGTATGTTAAGAAAAACGGCACTTAGTCTTTTCCACGGCTAGTCGTGGGCTTTCGTACTTGCCCTTGTCACGTATTGTATCTTTGCTGAAACCTGGTCTTACCTAAAATCATCTAGATTATTGTCGTTTTCTCTCGGTAATAAAAAGTTATAAGTTTAGTATTGTTGTGTATGTGCACAGACAAAAGAACTTTAGTATACATTTGGCTCAAGATAATTTGAAACGAATGAAAACACAAAATGAGCAAGGAGAGAGAAAGATGAAAGTTTCAGTTGGGAAATTTACTTGTAAATTTGATATGAATATTCAATGAAGTCTTTGAGTTTCAGGCTCTTTCTCTTCCTCTCTTTTTCATACACACACACACACACACACACACATATTTTAGAGAATAACAGTATAAATATAATCTGTATCAACTTGATTGTATATTTTTTATAGGTGTAGCCATGGTTGAGATACCAAAGGACTGTGTCCTGCAGTGGGCGGGCCATGCTGGATATATTACGGAAAGATTCAGTGGTCTGTTGGCACGTCAGTCTCTAGTTGATGTCACATTGATCTGCGATGAACAAAAACTACGTGTTCATAAGCTGGTTTTAGCTTCCAATAGTGTATATTTTGAGGTATGTATACAAAATTTTATGATATATATTTAGTAACCATATTTTATATGCATTTTGAAAACTGGGTTTGTATATTTTACATATTTAATTATCCTTTTATTTGAACATTACATTGTCTATTGGTTTTTATTGTGTATGTCTCTTGATTAAATTGTATTTATTATATTGGTGTCTAACTATATACCAGCAGATATTAATGTGAATATTACATATTTGTTAATAATTTTCATCACTTCCTAAACATTGTTTTTTTAACCACTAAAAATTATTAAATCCTAGAAACATTAAAACATTCTTTTTTTCTACAAATACGAATTGTTTTATAAGGTACTGTTATAGCTTAAGATACTGTTTAAGTAATTATATAAAAATAGTGTAAAAAGATTTTTGGAAAGTATTACACAAGAGTAGATGAAAATAAGAAAGGAAGAGAGAAAGAGACAGAGGGAGAGGAATTTACATTTATTTACATTTGTAGAAAATTATTTCACTTTCGTGAAATATATTGATTAATATTTGGATGCGTATCTCTATTTTTCCTTGCAGATCTGCTGATGACTGAGCAGTATCATTAAGATTTTGTTGAATGAACTTTAAGGATCTTTTATTCTTTATTATAATTGTTTTTTATTAATTATCTATAGAATTATTTATTGATAAAGGGAATTTTTTATTTATTTGTGTTCGGTGAAGCAAGGTAATGATAACTTGACGTTATACTTTTATAATCACATTTATTGTCCTAAAATTTAATGAGCAGATATAATTTATTATCATGTATATTTTGTATATATCTATATTTTTTAAAAATGTAAAAGTCCAGAAAAATATCAGAAACTCCAGAAAGTTAATATCCCTTCGATATTTAAATTATGTAAAATTGTTTACATATATGTTATACAAGTTATACAGTATAACAAGTTATACAGTATGCGTTGTTTTAAGGGATCCTAATAATGCGTATCAAGAGAGAAAACTGTATTTGATGTTTATAGAAGAGGATGATAATTATCACTAAAACCTGATAACATGCATACACAGAGAGTAATGTTACTAATTTTACCAGCAAAATATTACTGAATTTGCACTCGCAATTCTTTTCACCTGTTTAACGTAAAACTGATGAAAATTTTATTATATCCATTTTAAAATCAGGAGGATAATAGTGTACTTATGGCAGAACGATTTTGCAGGGATAATATAAGATTCGTATAAACTAAAGAAAGCCTTGCGTATTCGGAATTTCGTTAGTTCTTTACAAACATTCGAAGAAACCAAGTTCGAAGGGCATACTTTATACAGTTTTCGAAACGACAGCCGTTCTTTAGAAAGGTATTAAATAACTAACTCATATGATCTAAGGGTAGAGTATGTACGCTCGAGTGTTTTCCCGGGAGTACGTTCATCGCTTCGCGTTCGTGACGAATTCTCTGTAGAAATACAGAGTCGCTTGCATGATGTGATTATCTTTCTGTGTACGAATAAGTAAATCATTGTCGAGTAAAATAATATCCAGACGACAGTTTAGAAAGCACATCGACGACTGAATATTAATCCTTCAACTGCCCCCAGCAAATGTGCTGATTTCATCAGCATTTTACGTGGTTCTGCTCCAAAAAGGATCAATAAAACGCGTCATCTACAAGGAATAATTCGGGTTTTGCAGTTAAAGGATTAAAATCAATATCTAAAATTACATCTACATCTAACTTTCTTAAGCTTTCTTATCTTTATTATTTCTTGGCGATATTCCTTTTGATTGTTGCACCATAGGAAATACTACAACAAGATTTGGGGCAAGAGCCGATTATACTTTTAAAAGATTTGGACTTTGAAATTCTGAAGGCCATGGTTGAATTCATGTATTGCGGAGAAACTACGGTGTCTCATCAATATTTGTCATCCTTGCTGGATGCAGCGAAAATTTTCAAGGTACGTGCAGCCTGATTTATTCAGTCGACAGTTGTTCGTTTTGGCACGCGAACCTAACTCGCTCCGTTTTTCCTCCCCACAGGTGAAAGAATTGGTATCCGTGATCGATACAATCGTTGGCACGAAAAAGATCCTAGACAACTTCGAGACTTGCTTGAAACAACAGACGGGAGACTGCAATTTAAAAGTTACGAACAGTTCGCTCACGGAGAACGATTACGTCCGTGTCAGATGTGATAAGCTGAGCATGGAGAACGCATCGCTCTGCGCCGATAGCAATAACGATGCATGCTCAACTAAGAGTCAGTCTTTGGAGTCTTTGGACACCGAGCACGATTCCGAGCACACGTTGTACGACGAGTCAGACATTATCGATCCCGACAGCGGGAAATCTACGGAAACGTTGTCACTGTTTACGATGCCCGATGTAAATATTAACTGGCACAGTGATATCATTAGTTCCGTGTCTACGCACGGTAATGTAAACGAAGTACAAATGATGGGATGCACACACGGCAATGGAGACGAAACTTCTTGCAATAATAGTCACGACTTAAAACCTATGCTGTACGAACAATGCTGTGATCTTTCCGAGGTAAGCGAACATGATCAAACTTCCTACTCTGCCTCCTCCTCCTGCTCAACGACGACGACGACGACGACGCCGGTATCGCAATCTTGCCTTTCGCGAGTCGACGACGATCTCGAGCAATGTTTTGACAGGAATGTTCCTCTTAGCAAAGTAGGTAAATGCGTCAAGGTTTACACGCACAAGCGACGCAAGTCCGTGGACGAGATACGGAACAAGCTTGTACATACGCAATGCAATCTAGTGCCAACCCCGCCGCCGTCTACGGACTCAATAGATCTATTAGACGAACCGTCCACTAACAATATACCGGTTACTCTGTTAACGTCCTTGGATATGGAGAGCGATGAGTATATCTTGAGCTTAAGCACAGAGAGTATTCAGTCTATTGTAGGTAGTACCATAAGCGACCAGCATACGGTGATCGGTTGTAAGAAATCGAATGCGAGATCGGATAATGCCGAGAAGGAGCGATTGAGTCCGAGCGACGCGGATTACGCGAAGCCGGTTCTGAGACGGAGTACTCGATTGAACCAACAGGAGAGCGACGAGACCGCGAGCAACGGCGGCGGGATACCTACTACGGCAAGTATCGCAGGATGCGAGAAACCGTTCAAGAAAGGCAACTCTCCCAATCGAACGGAATTGTATGCGAAAGCGAAACGCAAAGGAAGAGAGGATCGGAAAGTACTGGACCACTACGGTGCCATTAGTGTCGATACGACGCTTCAGTCCGCTATCAAAAAGAGCTTGAAGAGCAAGAAAAGCAACTCGAAACTAATGGTGAGAAAGAGTAGCAAGTCCGCGTGCGCGATGAGCACATTGAACGCAGGTAAAGAGAAGGAAGAGTCGAAGCCGAAGGCGACCACGACGACGACGACAACGACGACGATCAGTGGAATCAGAAACGAGAGTACGGATGCACGGGTGATTTCGGATCGAAGGTCCGTGTCTCCCATGAAATTGGACACGATCAGCGGCATCGATCGCGCTCTCTGGGGCGACAATTCTGACAGGTTAACCGAGGAGGAAAGCGAGACGAATTCGCTCGTGTTTTCGCCCAACAACGCGATCCCCTTCGCCGTCGGCCTGCTGCCGTTACGCACTGCGTTGGAAAAGATGCAGGCGACACCGGATTATCAGCCACGTAAGACCCGATCATCGTTCGCCCCGTCGCGGCAAGAAAGTGTGTTGAAGCGAAAGGCGAACTGCGTGTTCTCAGACGTTGTGAAGAAGCAAGGCGTTGGCAATAACGCTGAGAGTCCGAAGACTGTATGCCATATACAGATTAAAGCCGCGCCGTCGCAGGACGTGAAGAATCGCAAGTCTCGATTATTCACTGCCGGCGACGGACGTCGCGAGCAAGCAATAACGCAGGTTAGTTAGGATAGATTTGCAATGGAATATTCATTGATATTCGACGCGAGACGCCGTACGGAAGCTCGCAGCTTCCGTCGCAATTAACTCAACAAAATTTCTTGCGAGAGATCCTAAACAGTCTCTTGAGTTTGCTTTTATAAGTGGTAGAGAAGAAGAAAGAGAAAAGTGTGAGAACTCAAGATTGATAATTGATTTCTTTCGTCATATACAGAGTATACGTTATTGTGTGTAACATTTGAATATCGTCTGTACGTTTAAGCGTTGAGAAATGATCTCCACCATAGATCAATGGTGCATATTTACATTTTTTTTGTACAATTACACAGAAAGAAAATTCTTTTCCGTGCGGTTGTCTTTCGTCATCTCATATATATGTGTGTGTATATATTATTACGTAATATATTTCGCGACAAATTATTACCGTGTGTTTCTCTTAACTCATACATAAGTTTATTTTTTGTAAGTTATTGATTTAACTGTAGTTTAGCTTGAAATATTATATTGAATTTACAATTGTATAGATGTAAGTAGATAGAGGAGATAATATTGTGAATCAACAAAGTTTAAGGGAAACATTTTTTTTTCCTTTGTTTTTTCTTTTTCTTTCGTGTTCGTTTTAGGAACTTCGCGAACGTGATTGAATGATGCCCATTTTGCGTGATTATGCTTTATCAAATTAACCCATTACGCTGATCGTTATTAGTTGAAAGTGATCGTATTTGAATATGTGAGAATGAATATTGTATAGCGATTGCTGAAAAAGATGTATATTCGGAATTAATTTTAAGCACTGTAAAGTAGTACGCGCAATAGAGAGAAAGAAAAATAAGAGTAACGATAATGTTATATTTTTATAAATTTTCGTTTTTTAATTATAATATATATATATATATATATATATATATATATATATATTTGTGTATGTATGTATGTATATATATATATATGTATGTATGTATGTATGTATGTATGTATGTATATATATATATATATATATATATATATATATATATATATATATATATATATATATATATATATACACACACACACACACACACACACACACACACGCGCGTGTATCTGAGAGAGAATAAAACTCTGAGAAACGATCTTAATTAAATACATTGTACCTTCGGAAATATGGTAGCAATAATTTTTTAACGAAACCTCGTGAGTCATATTAGCGTATAACTTGAAGTAAATTAGCGAATTGTAAAACAGAGTAATTTATAGAAATTAATGTAGCGATCGTGTTCTGCTGATGGGTAATCGTTTAATTATCATTTCGATATCGATCACGTATCTTTCACTTAAAAAGCGTCTCTGTTAGCTTACAACTGAGTAGATGATATCACGAGTAACTTAACATAAGAATATATACTGCATAAGCGGTAACGAAGCTCTAACGTGTTGCAACAGCGACATCGCATGAGGAAGAAAACAACAAGCGCGTTCTCAATGTACAAAATGTATTTTTAACATAACTTATAATCGAGCTCACGTGATCTACGTTCATATATTTGTTTTTTTTCCATTTTGTACATTTAGTTGCAGTATTCTTAGGATTAAAACAGTTGCTGCTCAATGTGTAAAGGGATTGTTTATCGCAATGACACAAATAGTGTTGAGAAGAATATATACATAAATGTAAATACATTTATACATACATATAGATGTATATACATATATTTTTTCACAATAAATGTTTTCGATGGGAATCTGCGATTTTTATAGCTCATTCCTATCTCTTTTTGACTCCAATATTTTCCGTTATAGTGTTCTAATATTGTAAGATGTTTCAGTTCAAGACGCTGACTTCGAGTATCCTTCCCCATATTCTTCAAACCCTAATAGGATAAAATAAAATGCACCAGATCGTCAGGGGGAGGTCGGCGACTCGTGAGGACTTGTTAATTAACAAACTGAAATCATTCGTTCTCACAACAATACTGTGTTCAGGTAATGCTTTTCCTCAGGTATATATTTCATGTATACAGAATACTCGTGGAATACACCGTACTATACCTGGATATAATAATAATAATGAAAAACAAAATATTAGTGGCCCAAGGGGGTGGAAACCGGAGCGTGAATGTGAAAATAGCAATGCAGCCGCACGATACACAGTCTTGACACTGCGCAGAAGGACAGACAGAGCGAGGTAGAAAGAGAGAGAGAAATTAAAGAAAGAAACACAGCGGCTTCTATTTATAGCTTTGTAATTTGATTGGCCGCACGAACACGACGACACGCGCTCAATCCATGCGCGACTAGGCGGCGATTTTCATTAGGGTATATACATACTTGCTTATTTCTTAGGCTGGTCGATGAGCGATCAAGCTGCTCGAGATATCGCGTGCGTGCATATATATATATATATATATATATATATATATATATATATATATGTGCATACGTGTATGCGTGTATGCCTAATGTGCGAGAAATTGATTTCATGAATGAACGTGAGCGCAGCAACTCGCGCGACACATTCAGCGCAAAATGTGCTCGTCGGGCTGTAGGAACTTCCCTTTTCTTCTTTCAATTTTTTTCATTTTTTCCTCTCCTTCGGTCTAGCGCGCAAAGGAATATAACTCTCGTCCAACTATATCGAGACACAGGCCGAGATGTGGAAATATCAACGAGCTCTGCAAAAAAGCAACGCATCCTTTCCAGAAATAATAGCTGGGACGTGTTTGCGGAATGTGGGCGAAAGTGGCTTCCCCGTTGGGAGAAAATACTCTCTCGGTGTATCGCCCGCTTGTTTATCTTCCGTGAAATGATGGATTAAGGAATGTGTCAATTGTGGCTAACAGAGAGGTAAGTCGCTGGACGCGATCGCGGATTGCGTCAACGCGAGCGACCGTTTCTGCTAATGAGATATATGCGCGAACGTTATTAAACTGCATTTTTAGCTCTCTCTCTTTCTCTTTCTCTCGTATACGCGCGCGCGCGTATCACGTTAGCACGCAGAAATAAGTTCTTCGTTACGGTATATAAATAACAGCCCCTAGGACTAGTAAACTATTCAACCACGTAACGTCACGTGATATAATCGAGCTCGTTAACCGGCGGGATTTTGGCGTGTCTTGTCATCTGTTTCGGCATATACCAGCCGTTTGATCGCAGTACTACTGGTTGAAACTAAGTGCGATCGATCGATCGATCGATCGAGCGAGCGAGGTCGATTTTCGGAAAGTGCGATTTAGATTCAACAAATCCAGAAATACACAGCGATCGCGAGTAATTGTCGCTCGGTAATTACGCAACGTCCCCGGACAGGTGATCGTTCTTTGGAACAGAGTTACTTTCCAGGCGATTTTTAGACACATCATGTCGTTCCCCTTTCCCTTCTGAATTGTTGGCATCTTAGCAACGATCCGCGTGACGCTCGTAGTCAAGGCGCGCGATGCTCGTATTGAATTTTTTTCTTTTTTACGTGCAGGTTCACATATTTATACATTGCTATGAGGCGAGACGGAGAGGAGGAGCAATAATACGAGAATTGCCTGGAAAACGTCGTGTCTGAACTGATCCCATGGCCGCACCGCCCCGCAGACGTCCCGGACGTGTCACGTTCAAGAGAGATCGGGAGAGAGCCAATTGGGGAACCGGCGTCGCTCGCTTCCGAGTCGAGTAATCGATCGGATCGTCCGTCACTGTCCTCGTCGGTGCTGCTACTGTTATCCAGGAACCGGCTTGATCACTCGCTCGACGACGTGAATGGAATCCGAGAGATCTCGCACGACGTCAAGAGGCGTCGAAGCGACGCCGTTGGCGCCGCGAGAACGTTGCACGGGTCGCGACGCGTTCGCGACGCTTTAAGCTCCGAGAGAGCCGAGGAGAGGACGTGCCCGACGAGGTAGGTTGACGCAGTAGCGCAGCAGCAACGGTGCAATCAATGGGCGCATATTGATCTCAACCTTTCGCGCGCGAGGAGTCTCCGCACCTGCGAAGGCGGGCGAGTACGCGCTCGAATTCTTGCGGAGGAACGCGACCCTGTGCACTTTTGCTCTCCATTTTTGCCCGTTATTTCACGCTCATCCGCACGCCGGAACGTGTGCCTCACTGTAAAAACTCCAGTGATCTCGCACGGTGCAATACGTCTTTTTGTTTTACGGAAGAAACGTGATTTGCGTCAGCAACGCAAATGATTCTTCTTCTCTCATCCGATTAGAGTTCCACCAGTCATATCTTACGCAGAATATGACACTACAACTTTGCCTTAAGCCGCGAGCAAATTGACCAAACACGATTGTTCCAAGAATACGGACTGTGTTTGGTCAATTTGTGCTTGTGACTTAAAGTAAGCTTGTGCAAAATAGGCCTAAGTTTTCTCTTGTCACGCGAAATCTTGAGATCTCCGAAAAAGCGATCGATTGTTCGCTCTCGAGTTCTATTGATAAAGCGTATTTCAATATCTCGTGTCGCTACTAACGTTCGTCCCCTTTGTCAGGGTAATAGTCACGCGTTCCCACGAAACTGTGTGCTTCGTTCGCACAATTTTTCGCGAATCGCAAGTTTTGAACTTTAGTCGCTCGTTCTGTCGAACACTGTTAAAACAAATAAGTGTGCAGAAGAGATAGACATGCGGATATCTCTCGACGCTTCGATCGATTGCCAGTTCTGCCGAATCAACAGACACGCGAATACGGCAGTTGACAGGTTCACAATTATTCTCAGGAAGTGTACAATCGAGCACGACGCCGCATTGTGTGTGAACAAGTCCGCCGGTTCTCCGTCCAGCAGTTCAAACGGGCTGAGAAAAGGCGCGCTCGGCCGTCGCTTCCGCCGCGAAGTCGATAGGTGGCGCCGCAACGACCGCGCCGGCCGTCCGGATTGGCTGCTTCGAAAGTAGTGCCAGACATGTGTCGCGTTTCCCGCCTCCGGTGCGGCTTGTGTGTTGTGTGGGGGCCGCGCCAGTCCGGTGAGTCGAAGCATAGAGACACGTAGAGAGCGGCGCGTAAGGGCCTAGGCCGGAATCGAACCGCGGTGTCTTGGTTGGCTCTTCTCTCTTTCTCTCTCCCCTCTCTCTCTCTGTCGTCTTCTCTCACTCTCTCTCTTTCTCGCTCTCTCCGGCACGCACGAACGCGCGACGCACGCAAGCAGGCGAGTGAGCGAGCGAGTGAACGAGCGAGTGAGCGAGCGAGCAAGTGAGTGAGCGAGCACGCACGGCAGCAGCAGCAGCAGCGGTGGCTCCCTGTCCGCGCACTGTCCGGTGACCGACCGTAGTTCGGCTGTGTCCGTCCGTCATATTATATTCCCGGCCCGAGAGAGAGCAAGGTTGCTGGCACGTAGTTGGTGTTGCGACGCAGGAGGCGGTGGGGACGGACGGACGGACGTACGGACATACGGCGGGTGTGCGATTCGCGGTGTGCGCGTACGAAGCGGCGGAACGAGGAGCAGCGAGAGAGCGGTTTGGGACTGTGCCGGCCATGGAGAAGCGGATAGAGCTCGAGAAGCGGGGCAGAAACCCCGGCGACGTAAGGCAAACCTTTCGATATTATGTGATTTTCGTGTCGCTTATTGCTGCTTTAATCTTTATCTGTCTCTCTTTTTTTACCGCCTCTTCCCCTCTCCCGGTGTTGTGCGCTTCTCTCTCGACGTGTGTTTCTCTCGTGTATATACTTTCTCTCTCTCTCTCTTTCTATCTGTGATTCGCACGCGCTCCTTTATTACGTGTACAAGAGGACCCACGCATTTACGCGGTGCTCGCGCTCGCGTCGCGTGCCTGTGCCACGCGACGATGTGCGTCGTCGTCGCCGTCGTTGTCATCGTCATCATGTCTTGTCGTTGCGTCGCGTTGTTGTCGTTACCGCCCGGGTTGCGGTTCGCGGCCGCCGCACGGCCGAATTAAATAGTCGGCGGCGGCGGCGTTCGCCGCGAAAGAGAGACGATGAGAAAGAACGAGGTAAAGAGAAAGAGAGGGAGAGGAAGGGAGAGAAAAGACAGAATCGCCGTGTTGCCTCGCGCTTTGGCGGCCGCGCTGCGACACAACACCACGCACTCGCTAGAATGCGGCACGCTACTAGTCTTCCGACTTTCTCATTCTTCTCTACCTGCTGTTCATCTCCCCGTCCTTGTCGCACGTTCGGCCACAAGGAGCATTTCGTCTCAGCGACGACCGCGTGGCCGCCACCGTTGTCGGTCCCGTGGACGGGTCGTCCCCGACCGGGGCACAGCATATGCACGCACTGACGATGGCCGCGAACGAGCAACGGGCATGGCGCGTCGGAGAGGCTTCTCGCTTCTCTTTATCCCCCCTCTCTCTTTCTCGCACCTTCGCACGTACTCCACGCGTCTCTCTACCTACATCCTTCCGCGCGAGTGTGCTCCACATATTTCTTTCTCTCTATATCCCTTTCTCTCTTTTCCCTCCGGCCTGCTTGATTGCTCGCACGCTTGCATATCCGTCGTTCTATTTCGCATGGTTTCTCTCACGAGAGGCGACCGCGCGTCGATCGACGACGCGACCAATCGCCTTCTCTCGCCCTCGGAAGTGATCTCGCAGCGATCGGCATCGTGACGCGTTGTGCGTCTCTCTCTCTCTCTCTCTCTCTCTCTCTCTCTCTCTCGACTCGCTTCGTCTCTTTCGTCGTGCGAGTGAGAAATTTGGATGCTACACGGACGTGAGGGATCGAGTACGACGCGACGACGTGCGATCGCCGTTCTGTCGAAATGCTAGTGTACGGCGATGCGGTGGACTACGTGCGGCGCCGTTGTGTGTTCCTTAATCGCGCGCGTTTATACGTACGCGATCGCTTATTCGCTGCCTCCTCTTATCGCGACGCGGGGAGATACGTTTCACGTTATGACGATCACGCGCTCACGCGTACGACCACGATCACGACGGCATGACAACGATGATAATTATGACGGGGGACAATAATTTCGAGGAAAGGCGCTCGTTTTTCTGGTAGCGTGAAAAGCGAGACGCGCGCGATTGTGCAGCCGGTCGTGCTTCTCGAGACCGGGAAGCGCGCGTCGTGCACGCCACCACGTTCCCTACAATTAATGGTGGATCTCTCGTGGCGACTTGGTCGCTTGACTTTATATCCGCGGATAATCGATCTCGCTCGTTCTCTTTGTCCCTCTTTCTCCGTTCTTTTCGTCGAATCGCGCGCGCGACACCGGTTACTACACGCTGTGAACGAGGACGGATTTATTTTGTCGCGATTTCACTTCCGCGTGTTAACCAACTCTACACGAGTAGCGTAGTGTGATTCGATTTCTGACGCTATGGCTATAGAGCTCGAACACGCCAAACTTGCCGCGCCGAGTTGTGCACGCTGCGCGTCCCCCTGTGCGAGGTGCACACAAAAATTCCTCGCCTTTCAGTCACGAAAATTCCACACCGCATCACTAGTTGCGTTTGGAATATTCTCGTTTCATATGTAGCATACTTGTCTACGCATTTTACGTATGTCACACACAAACATATACACGCATATAAACATAGAGTAGTTAGGTTAACACCCAACCCGGGGATCGTTATGCTGATTGATTCCAATCTAATTTCTCGCCGGTGGGACGTTCGTCCTTTGAGACAAACTCGCGCATACGTATCTCTCTCTCTCTCTCTCTCTCTCTCTCTCTCTCTCTCTCTCTCTCTCTCTCTCTC